GGAAAAAATTATTAATATATATATAAATTATTAATATAAGAGACGGAAAATTATTAATATATATATAAATTATTAATATATATATATATATATATTAATAATTTTCCGTCTCTTACGTTTCCACAATTTTAACGAATAAACAATTAATAGTATATATATATATATATATATATATATATACTATATATATAATATATATAATATACCACACTATATATAATACTATATAATACTATAATACTTAAGTTATATACAATATTAAATATAAGTTATNATTTCAATTCGTTCGTTCATCGGTGATTTCAACGCGTCCGTGCTTAAACGATGCCATGTTGTTCATCAATGTATGTTATTTATGAATTTATTAATGCGAAGTTCTCGTTTCGTTTCACAGTTTCTCCCTTGTTCTATCAAATTATTACGGTCGCGTGGACAACCTGTGCCGAAGATTCTCGTGGCCGCGAGCTGAATCGAAGCGCGAATTTCGCGATACCGATTATGAATAGGACATTGCCGCGGTGCAATGACGTTGAAACGGCGATCGATCGATGCTCATTGAGGCATTGCACTGGTTCGAGAGGTTTTATACGTGCGCGCCGTGCAAAATGTCGTTCCACGTCGAGATTCGACGTTTCTAGAAATTATTGACCGCGTGAAATCCATTCACGGAGAACTTCTCTTTCTCGCGTCGGCCGTTTCGTATCGCGTTCGTCTCTTCGTTGCGTTGTTAATCGCCGAGAAGGGGAGGCCGATTCGAATTGCTAAATATAAGCGATATTTTATATAAGGCGATATTTTATTCGAGTCTCGACGAAGCGGTTGTTTTTACGAATTGCAAACGACTGGATGATCGGGCCGCCCCAGCGTGCACCAGACAGGAATAATTTATTTGTATCGTGAATATTTATAACGCCGCGAATTCGATCCGTTAATTATGCAAATAGGGTGTTCCAAAATTATTTAAATGTTGTATCGCCGTTAATGCCGGACTGTGTTTTAAAGTAATTAAAATACGAATGCTTACTAGGTGTCTTATATATTGTATTATATATTTTTTATTATGTGTTTTATATTTTATATACTTTTGATTACATATTATATTATAATATATTATATTTTATATATTTTTGATTACATATTATATTATAATATATTATATTGTATATATTTTATTACATATTATATTATAATATATTATATTGTATATATTTTATTACATATTATATTATAATATATTAAATTGTATATATTTTATTACATATTATATTATAATATAATATTTTATATTTTATATATTTTATTACATATAATATCATAATATATTATATTGTATATATTTAATTACATATTATATTATAATATACTATATTATATATATTTTATTATACATTATAGTATNCATTACATATTATATTATAATATATTATATTTTATATATTTTATTACATATTATATTATAATATATTATATTGTATATATTTCATTACATATTATATTATAATATATTATATTTTATATATTTTATTACATATTATATTATAATATATTATATTGTATATATTCCATTATTTATTATATTATAATATATTATATTATATATATTTTATTATACATTATATTACCTTATACAATTATACTTATGGCCAGGAGTGTACACCACATCGATATCGATAGATCAAAGTTTACTAATCGAATTCATTTTGCCTAAATAAAAACTGTTCGTTTCCACAGAATCTCGCTCGATCACCGCACATTTTTGATAAAATTGTGCGATCAGCACGAACCTTCAATTCGTTTCGACGATGTCTTAACGATATTATCGATACCATCGACAACCCGATTGGTAATCGATAGTAGCGTCCCTACGGCCGAAGTTTCGGTCGAGGTTGAGCAACGTGAGCGCCGGTGAGACCGGGGGCTAGTTTTCGAAATTCAATTTCATGCAAATCAAAATTCTCATTGACGAAGTTCCGCGGGAAAATCTAGTCGGCCGAGAGAGAGAGAGAGAGAGAGAGAGAGAGAGAGAGAGCCACGCCCCGTTTAATATTATCCGCGTGGATATATACGGTGTAGAAGTGTGTACACAGAGCGTGTGTACACGTAGTGTGCGTGAAAGATGCGTTTTACATACGGCCGCGGATACGGATAAAGGACGAGCTCGGGAGCAGGTAGCTCGAGATGCAGCCAGGAATCGAGTTCAAGGACCTCGCTTTTCCGGAATAGAATGCGAGCCGCGGCGCAATGTTGATGCCATGCGAGCACACCGTCCAAGCGCAGCTAGATGCGCGGTGCGCACTTTTAACTTCAACAATTCGTGGCGACGCTGTGGGGCACAGGACATTTTATTTATACAGTCACTAAAACGTCGGAATATTATGCTATAATATATATATTATTATAATTTATTTTTATTATAGGAAATTTATTAGTAAGACATTTTATTTATATAGTCACTAAAGTAAAGAAATATTATAGTATAATATATATATATTACAATTTATTTTTATTATAGGGCATTTTTATTTAGGGCAGCCACTAAAGTATCGGAATATTATACTGTAATATATATATTACAATTTATTTTTATTATAGGAAATTTATTAGTAGGACATTTTATTTATACTGTCACTAAAGCATCGGAATATTATACTATAGTAAATATATATTAGAATTTATTTTTATTATAGGACATTTTATTTATACTGTCACTAAAGCATCGGAATATTATACTATAATAAATATATATTAGAATTTATTTTTATTATCGGAAATTTATTAGTAGGACATTTTATTTATACAGTCACTAAAGTAACGGAATATTATACTATAATATA